GTTCAGTCAACAGGCTCTACTTCTTTAATGAATCTAGCCCACTGACACACTGGAGTTAAGCTGGCCATACACCTATAGATTTTCTATGGTCAGATGGAAAAAGTGCAACAGATTCCTCAATGTACGCTAAACTGTGTGGATGGAGGAATCTCCCACTAGGCCAAGCTTCAGTATCATGCTAGTCGGTTGCGCTGGCTGATAAAATACCTGAACAATCTGATTGGATGCAGGCATTGGTCAGGTATTTTGACAGCCAGCGGGGCCGACTAGCAAGATACTGAAGCTTGGCCCAGTGGGCGATTCCTCCATCCACACAGTTTAGCGTAGATGGAGGAATCTGTTGCCCTTTTTCCATCTGACGGTAGAAAATCTGCAGATATTCTATAGGTGTATGGCCAACTTTAGCAATTACAACAATAAGTGCTAGCAGGAAGCTTTTAAATGAACTTGTAATTAAAGGGACACTAAATGCTAACATGCATTATACAGTATGCATTATACATTTACAGGAAAAACACAGTCACCCGTGTACCAACCAATCACTAATTTCTGACTGTTGTAAACTGGTAAAAGAAAATATCTGATATGGCTGCTATGGGTCCCTGCACATTGCACATAATCATCTCAGGTTTCCCTACCCGTAAGATAAAGTCAGGACAATGATAGTAGTAGGTGCTATGGATTACTGCCTTCTACAAATACTATTACAACTACCACAAAATGTGACATAAGAAGTACATACCATTTTGTTATGCCTTTGTTTCTTCCACTTGTTCAGAGATTGTAGCTGTTGAGCCACATTTCCCAGCTCTTATGCGATTTCCGTTACTTCATGACTCTTTGACAAAGGATTTGTTTGGTAAAATTCAGGACCCAAGAAGAAAAAAAAGAATTCTTCATCAGGGACAGCACTGCAGTGAGAGACTGTGATCTTTTAGCTATTTATTGTCACATAGTGCTAAAGAGCACAGTGTTAGATCATTTAGCCATGAAAGGGCTAAGAGTGACCACGTACGTAGGATCATCAGTATAAGAGGTACACAATGTCATTAGGCCTGGGGGCCTTTCAGAGCACCAGATGGTCCATTTAGGTCCAGCCACATCTTAGACATATATCATATTACTAATAATACCCTATTGTCTTATATGCTACATAGCACGTACAACCCTGTGCTTTCTCTATGACTTTTCCTTTATAACCGATTATGGGCTGAATAATAATATTGACTTTTCATAAGTCAGACATATAAGTTAGAGAGAAGACGGACACTTGAGGTCTGTAGTTCCTTCTTATTACTGGTAATCACTACCAGTGTATTGTTACATGCTCCCTTGAGACAGTTTCCTGTATATTTCAATAAAATACTGCTGGAGCCAAATACCTAGAATATTCTAATAGGTCACTGAGTGCAAGTACTCATTATTCTACATGTTCATCTGACAGCAGCTAGCAGGTCACGTCACACTGTATTGCCAAAAATGAAAGAAATTATTTTAACACGGGTAAATAAATAATACATGAACAAATGATATCGGTTTGCTAACGGGAACTGAAGTAGTGCTAACACCTAAGCGGTTCCCAGCGGTGGAATTGCATAGTTACATAGTATTTGAGGTTGAATAAAGACATAAGTCCATCAAGTCCAACCTGTTGTGTGTGTGTGTGCGTATAGGTCCATGAGTGTTCTCGATCTTAAGAGTACCTGTACCCTTGTGCATTTCGGTCTCTCAGGAAAATGCAGTAAGCTAACGCAGGTCAAGCACACCAAACATGAAATGGTCACAGAAATCAATCAGGAAGGTTCACATCTCTGCATTGCAGAGTACAATGCGAAAAAGAAAAATTATGTTTCCACAGTGGGGTGTGCAAAGACCCAGAGGGAAAAGGAAAAAAGGGGGGCTTTTAAGAAACAAGTCCAGACCTCTTGTATAAAAATTTTAGAAATACATTTATTCAATAACTCGTAGTATACATTATTTCAGATAAAAGACAAAACAAAAACAAAATACATAATCATCAATAAAAATACATATACATATGCAGGTTCACCAGTTGGTGACAATACCATGCAGTTACGATGTATGTTGTTGCTTGTTATCGGAATGGTATAAGCACTCCTATAGGTCCCTACATGTTTCGCCCCGAAAGGGCTTCTTCAGGGGAGAAAGACAATTCTATGGTGGATATGTGTCCTAGGATAAGAATAATAAGCCCACATATAGTACAATTAGTACAATTAGTGCAATTGGGATCAGAGAACTGCACTTAGTCTCACTAGCAAAATAATTTTTTATATATATTATTCTCAGTCATAGCGAGTGTAAATGTGATATAGAGGTTGAATGCTTACATATGTATATCTTCACCATCAGTTAGTCAAGGAGGCAGAGATGTAGTAAAACGCAACTGCTTCAAATTCAAATAGAGGATTGGTTTTGTCAAACATGAAACGCCAAAGGCAACGTAAGATGGAGGGATGGAGGGATGTTATCCTGCAGAGTACAATGCATTATCGAAAACACAACTTGCATTGCTGCACCAACTTCCGCTTGGAATATACAGATTGACTGAAAATTAATTCTGCATGCCCTTGCTTTAAAATTAAAATCAACCATCAGCCATGAATTTATAGAAATGCTAGTGAAGGGGTACTCTGAACAGTTATGAAGAATATATCTCTGCCTTTAATTGTATCTAATCCCCAGAAAAAATGGTAATATATATGATTTTTAACCAGTCCTCAGATGTGGTGGCTGCTTTAGTTTTTATTTCTTCAGGAGTTTTTCCCTTTTTGAACCTGGTAAAGCATTTCCTTTTCTAGGGTGGCAATGCTCGCTGACTGTATTGTATTATTTATATAGGAGCAGTATTGCCATCCTAGAACAGGTAGTATGTTTGGTAGGACTAAGCAACACCTACCCTGCTCCTTATCTCCATAACAAAGAAGGGAAACATTCTGTAGTCCACAGCAGGGACATGCGGTGAGCCCCCCCCCCCCCCCCAGCCTCCCCCCCCACTCCACCTAC